AAAGAAGATTTCCCAGAGCTACATTTTATTTTTAATTTAATTAATTAATTTATTTTTGAGACAGTCTCACTTTGTCACCCTGGGTAGAGTGCTGTGGCGCCATAGCTCATAGCAACCTCAAATTCTTGGGCTCAAGCAATCGTCTTGCCTCAGCCTCCCAATTAGCTGAGACTACAGGTGCCTGCCACAAGCCTGGCTCGTTTTTCTATTTTCAGTAGAGATGGGGCTCGCTCTTGCTCAGGCTGGTCTTGAATGCCTAAGATCAAGAGATCCTCCCACCCTGGCCTCCCAGAGTGCTGGGATTACAGGCCTTTTTGTGCCCTCAGCTGAATGGATGGTGCCCACCCACATTGAGTAAGGGTGGCTCTTCCTTACTCTGTCCACTGATTCAAATGCCATCTCCTCCGGAGAAATCCTCACAGACACACCCAGAAATGATGTTTTATCATCTCTTCGGTTACCCTTAACCCAGCCAAATCTACACCTAAAATTAACCATCACACCCTCTTAACTATCTTTTAAGGGTACACTCAAGTAGTGTGAAGTGTATTCACAGTGTTGTACAATAGATTTGCTTTCATACTTTTTGATGCTCACTTAAATTCTACTATTTTAATCAAATTTGATTTTTTAAAGTAAGGGTATATATAAAGCTTGTGATTTTATGCAGGTAGATTTCTTTCTCCTTCTCAAAATTCTTATAGAATAGGTTGACAAATAAATTGCATATCCCCATTCTGCATTCTCCTGCCCAATGCAGACATTGTTAATTGCTAATTTGTTCTTTATTCTTAAGGTTCTCAATCTTACTTTGTAGATAGTCATTATTACTATAATCAGAATTTGCACGAGAGATGAAATACATATATTACTATCCTATCAAGCTTTTTCAACCCTATAGGTCATGATTATCGGGTTTATCTTCTAAAATTTCCAGATCTTAACTTATGATCAAAACTCTTTACTTGGGTTTGACTCTCCCAGCCTCAGGATTTCCTGGGTCAGTTTACTCCAATCCAAGATACAAGAATGTTTCTTTTGATGACCAAGTTCCTTGCCTCATCCATGCTCACAGATGATTTTGGGAGCCATTTATCTTTTTTCCTTTAAAAGATCTCAGTCACTAAATTTTTACTCCCTAAATTAAGCCCATTACTTTGCATACCAAGAGTCCCAGTAATTATATCTCTTTAATATCGAAGACATGTCTCTCATTCAATGTTTTTTTTTCTTTTCATACTATAAACATTAACTTGATCCCCATGAAACAGATTGAGTCCTTTCTGTAAACTTTATTCCTGAATAAAACTTTCCAAAAAGAAAATGAATATCTTTAAATATCAGACTTTCAGAAGGTGGAGGGTTTCTTGGAGAAAGAGCCTGATTTGCTCAGGTCTGGGGAGTGGGAGCTACTTGATGTGCCCAGAGTGGCACATCTGGGTAGTGGCAGAGCTGGGAGGAGAGTCCAAAATATTAAAGAGAAAAGAAATTATTCTTATCAGAATGAAAAGTGAGTCACAATAAAAAGTCAGAGAGAAAGGTAAAACACTTCTTGGCCATGACCCAAGGGACAAAGTTAATGATGTTACTAGTTTACATTCACTGAGAGTTTTCTCATCATCAGGCATGGCGCTGAGCCTTACTTCTTCACACCTTATTTAACTGGCACAGCGACACTTTTGAGGTAGGTATTATTGTTGTACCAGTTTTACAAATGAGGAAGTTGATTTTGAGAGATTAACCAACTTTGTGCAACACTGATAAAAGGGCAGAGCTACAATTAGAACCCAACTCTCTCAGTTGGAAACCTTTGTTTTTAACCACAGTATGTTAGTATGAGGCTTGGTCTGTTTGTGTGTGTGGTTTATTCCCAATGAAAGTTCTCTTAAACAAAAGGCGGTCCACTTACTCCAAAGGGAATCTTCCTAGACCCAAATCAGGGAAAGCTCAGTGGAGAATAAGGCAGGGGACAGGAAACGGGGCTTTGGTGATGGGCGGCTGGCACCTCTTGCCATCTCTCCAGAGGAAAATTACTGCCCAGAGGTGTTTAGCTCTGATGATTCCTGGGCTTTTTACGTTGGACCCAAGTGTGTGACCAGCCTCTTGGAGAAAGAGTGTGGCTACCTCTGCTCATTAAAATAATGAACTCCCATAGGCCAACAGGAAGACTTGGGAACAAAGGAACAGGGATTCCAGAGGCAGGTACTATTATTTACAGAGGCCAAAGCATAAAAAATTGACGTAACCAGAAACCAGGCGGGAAATACAGATGAACTGGGGGTTGCAAAATATGTTATCGGAGCAAAGCAAATAATATTTCTTCTCTTGTAGTGCAAGATATCAGGATACCGATGCCTAAGGTGATTCAGTAAGTCCAGTTCCTTTGACCCCACCTCATTCATCCAGCAGAAGACAACTACAAATTTATTCTACCTTTGATTGGTAAAAAGGGCCGAGTAACGCTACGACTTCCTGAGGCTGTTGAGGGAATTAAATGGGTTTAAACAGAACAGGTCCTAAGAACAGTGCCTGGTATATAATAAGTGCTAAATAAGTGTTTGTGATGATATTATCATATTATATAATGATTGCTATTATATTATAATTGTGATTATATTGTACATTACATATTTAATAATAATAGGCAAAATTACTATAACTCATAATAACTCATGGGCCAAACACTTTGCTAAACTCTGTGAAAATAATTTTCATTTATTCAGAACAGACAAAACTCCCTGCCTGCTCTTGAGTAGTTGATATTCTGGTAGAGACGATTTCATTTTTATAAGAAAACACAAACTCCTCTTCTCTCCTTTTCGGTGGGATTACATAGAATGAGGCCATCGTCGAGAGCAGTCCTGGCTCCTGTTGGTTTTGACTATTCAATCAGGGACCTGTGGGGAGATTTGAAACTTGCAGAGAACACAAAGTTTGGAGCAGTTTTTCATATGATGAATGACACAAGCACCATCAGATGGGCAAATAAAGCCCACACGAATGATTAAATACAGCCACTTTAATTTCACCAGTGAGTCTTTCCCCGGGACTCCTCTGCCTTTTTATACTCACTTCTGTTTCCTCATTTTGCTGTTACGTCAGTGCTCTGTCTTTCTTAATCACCCATTGTGGATGGGCTTACCTCATTATCTTCAGAAGGATAATCTGATCCAGCGTGGTGACACAAAAGTTGTTCATGCTTGTTATTGTCCTCAGATATCTGGTGAAACCTGCCCTCCCCTTGGCTCCTGTTGCTCAGGAAATAATGCTTTCTGCTGGTCCTTGAGCACCATGGCTCAGCCAGTTTTTGATACACCTCCCCTTCCCCCTCACAGAGCTACATTTATTGCCTCCACCTCCATACTGATGCTGATTAGTCCAAACTTTAATCTTTCTATGAATTTTATGCAGTGACTTATATAAAAATTTACTATATAATTAGAAAAACTTTTCTAAAAAGATTCATCTCAGAGTCCTGAAGAAGAATCCACTGAAAAACCTGAGAATCATGTTGAAGCTAAACCCATATGCAAAAACCATGCACCAGAATACCATTCTTTGGCAGGCCAGGAATCACAAACTTCAGGTGGATAAGGCAGCTGCAGGACTACAGGCCAAGTCAGAGGAGAAGGAGGTTGCAGGCAAGAAGCCTGTAGCAATGAAGAAGGGGAAAAGCCTGTCGGTGTTAAAAAGCAGAAAAAGCCTCTGGTAGGAAAAAAGGCTGCCTCTACCAAGAAACCAGCAGCTGAAAAGAAGCCGGCAGAAAAGAAACCTACCACAGAACAAGCCTACTGCTTGTAGGCTCTCATAAACTCTTTAATGTTTATTCCATAAACGTCAAATCATTTTGGACAGTTTATTTTGAATAAAGACCTGAGCAAAGAGTCAAAAAAAAAAGAAAAAGAAAAAATTTTCTAGTCTTAAGCATGTGTTTGTGTGTGTATATTATATGCACGCATAGATATATGTATACACATACACACACGTTTGTATAATTATTTTTTCTTAGTTTCATTACCTAGAAGAATAGATTATTGACCGTAGTTTAAATTTCCTTCCCTCAAATGGAATGTGTCAAAAATTATAGCCCAATTTCCTTTTTTGAGTGATTAAAGATATATGAAGCATAAAAAAATACTTTGCTTTTATTTCAATATGGGTTTATATTCTTAAGTCATGGCAAAGCCAAGTCCAACGGGATGCTTAAAACTCATCTGATCCAACCCTCCCATTTTACAGTTGAGACAATAGAGATCCAGAGAAGTAATGTGAATTTTCCACAGTTCCCACCAAGGTAGGAATGGAGGAGATGACAAAATTCACATTTCTTTCTTTCTTTTTTATTTCTTTAGAGGCAGAGTGTCTGTCATCCAGGCTACAGTGCAGTGGCATCATCATAGCTCACTGCAACCTTGAACTCCAGGTGATCCTTGTGCCTTGGCCTCCCAAATAGTTGGACTACAGCCAGGAGCCACCACTCCCAGCTAATTAGAATTTTTTTTTTTTGAGGTTAGGTTTTTCTATTTTGTCTAGGCTGGTCTTGAACTTTTGGCCTCAAGTGGTTATTCAATCTTAGCCTCCCAAAGTGCTAGGATTATAGGCATGAACCTCTGTGCTCAGTCAAAACTCAGGTTTCTGACTACCAATCACTTTCCACATTAGTAGAGCGATTCTTTTAGTCAACAAGATATATATCATACATATAATTTTTCAATTTTTATTTATTTTTTCATTTAAAAAATTTTAACAGATTTGGGGTGTACAAGTGGAATTCCATTACATGTATATATCGTGTAGTGATGAAGTCTTGGCTTTTGCAGTAGTGTACAGATCTTACATAGCACTGAGAGATTGTCCTGGGACAAGTTCCTCTGAGCATGCTTTGCCTGGTAAGTGGCTGGACTTTGGGTGTTAACAGTTTATATGATCTTCCAGGAAATATTCATTTTTATGATAACAAACAAAATCTGACTGATCACAGAAATACCTCTTTTCTTTATGCAGGAAGTGGGCCTATGGCTGCAGGAAGGAACAACACCACTGTGACAAGATTCATCCTCATGGGATTTTCGGATCATCCTCAAATGAAGATGGTCCTTTTCGTGTTATTTCTGGGGATCTACCTCCTGACCCTGGCCTGGAACCTGAGCCTCATCGCCCTCATCAGGATGGACGCTCACCTGCACACGCCCATGTACTTCTTCCTCAGCAATCTGTCCTTCCTGGACATCTGCTATGTGTCTTCCACAGCCCCCAAGATGCTCTCCACCATCATCACAAAGCGGAAAAGCATTTCCTTCCTTGGCTGTGCCATGCAGTACTTTGTCTTCTGTGGGATGGGGCTGACCGAGTGCTTTCTCCTGGCAGCCATGGCCTATGACCGGTATGTGGCCATCTGCAACCCGCTGCTCTACACAGCCCTGGTATCCCACACGCTTTGTTTGAAGATGGTGGCTGGTGCCTATGTAGGTGGCTTCCTTAGTTCTTTGATTGAAACCTACTCTATCTATCAGCATACTTTCTGTGGGCCCAACACGATCAACCACTTCTTCTGTGACCTCCCCCCGGTTCTGGCTCTGTCCTGCTCTGATACCTTCACCACCCAGGTGATGACCTTCGCTGTGGGTGTTCTCGTGGGAGTGGCATCTGTCTTTGTGGTCCTCATCTCCTATGGTTATATTGTTGTTGCGGTTCTGAAGATCAGCTCAGCTAAAGGTAGGACCAAGGCCTTCAGCACCTGTGCCTCTCACCTGACCACCGTGACCCTCTTCTATGGTTCTGGTTTCTTCATGTATATGCGACCTAGTTCCAGCTACTCCCTAAATCGGGACAAGGTAGTGTCTGTATTTTATGCTGTGGTGATCCCCATGGCGAATCCCATCATATACAGTTTTAGGAATAAGGAGATTAAAAATGCCATAAGAAAAGCTATGAAAAGGAATCATAGGCTTTCTCACCCGCGTTCATTTTTTCTGACCTTGGGCTAATATTTACAATGAAGCCATGGCCTGGGTCCATTGGGTAGACATTTATGTACTTTTGAACTAATAGATCTCCATGATGATTTGTGTGGTCCAGACTCTTTGACCCCCTTTCTAAGATTCCTCTACCAATTTACCTCTTGGCTACTAGAAAATAATCTGGCCATAATTTGTTTCTAGAACAAACTGGCATTGCATAGAGTGAGAGTTTTAAATGCTCAATGTAGCAGATAAAAACATCCTGGAACATCAAAATAGAGCTTATGTTGGGAGGAGGAGAACTATAGGGAAAATATTAGTCCAGCATTTATGGTGGTTGTGGTCCTTACTGTGTGGCATACTGACCTGAAGAAGATGCTGTTCTTTCTAAACAGTTGCCTTTTCATCTTCTGAGAGTCTCAAATGCCTTCTTCAGAGCTCATGGGGTCTTCAGGGCAGTCACCCTCCCATGTTTGAGGACCAGGCTCTAGTGAGCTACTGTGACTGATGAGGGCGTATTGCCTTCAGATGGATTAAGGCAGAATTCTGCTTTGGATCTTAATGACTGAGCAAATGGAACAACCTCTTGGCCAATTCCATGAACAATAAAGAAAGTTGCCACTGAGATGATTTCAATAAAACCAAGAAACTACTGTGTAAGCTCAAAGTGACAGCTTTCTTTCTTTTTTTTATAGTCTCATTTTATTTTTATTTTTTAAAATTTTTATTTATTTATTTTTATTAAATCATAGCTGTGTACATTAATGCAATCATGGGGTACAATGTGCTGCTTTTATATACTACTTGAAATATTTTCATCAAACTGGTTAACATAGTTTTCACCGCATTTTCTTAGTTATTGTGTGAAGACATGTATACTCTACACCTAGTAAATTTAACATGTATCCTTGTAAAATGCACCTAGGTGTGGTCCCACCAATTACCCTCCCTCCACTCATCCTCCCCACCCACCCTCTCTCTCCCCTTTCCTTTAGAAAGTGACAGCTTTCTAACGGACACTCAAAATTTCTTAGGAATCAAGAGAAGAGCACACACTCATTTGGAATGAAAGCTTCTCTATTTTTACCAGGTTTGTGATATATTCTAAGTGAGAACCAAGCCAAGGAATTGAAGACAATGATTTTTCTTCTCCACACTTTCTCAGAATGTTTTACGTGTATTTGAACTGGCAGTAAAAACCTGGAATAAATTTATTCGGCAATGGCCTCTCTTGGGTAGGCCATAAATAAGGGAGTAAATTATATCTCCCCGTGTGTTCATGGGCAGTGTACTTAAAATCTGCATGCCTCAGTTTCTCATCAGTAAGTTAGGAATAATAACAGTAATTATATCCTAGGATTATTGTGAATAATTAAATTGTACACATAAACAGAATGATGCTTCATGTATAGACAATGTCCAAGAGGTGCTATTATTATCATCATCATTAGATAATTATTATTATCAAAGCCAAAGAAATAGAAGATATTTTCTTAGTTCTGTGGAAAATGTGACCTTTGGCATGGCTTTGCTTCATTGGAAAGAGGATCAAGGGAGACTATCCCAAAGGGTGGTGAAGAGGAGTGATTTTTAAGTCAACAGACTTTGGTAGGCACATGGCCTTATGCAAGTTATTTACAGACTCTATTTTCCTCACCTGTAAAACAAGGATAATAATTGTATTCACCTCATCAAACCGATATAACAATTAAGTGAGAACAGGCGTGAAAAGGGCTTAGTCAAGTGCCTGGCATATAGTTTTTCTTTTTTTTTTTTAAGATGAGAATTATTTATTTATTTATTTTTGCAGTTTTTGGTGGGGGCTGGGCTTAAACCCTCCACCTCCGACATATGGGGCCGGTACCTTACTCCTTTGAGCCACAAGTGCCATCACCATATGGTTATTTTTAATAGATGTTGGCTTACATTATTTAGTCAATATTTTTAGTCAATTTTGTATAAACCAAAAAAAAAAAAAAAATTCAGGGGAAGGTGCTAAAATGAGACAAAATAAATGGCTTTAGAATATCTACAATTGGGACAAGGCAGTCTCAATGAAAAGGTACAACCATGCCTCAAATCTCTACTATTTCTCACTAGGTGGTTCTTAGGGGAACAGAACAAGCCCAGGCTCACAGAGTGGCCATTGTGCCAACTCTATCTGCATTGTGGACACCTCCCCCTCTTTCGTATGGTCACCTCCCCCAACTTCTTTATCTGTACTCCAACTCCCCCAACTTCTGTCTTTCAGTTTACCAGTTTCCAAAATGGTAGCTGATTTTAAGTTCTCCTAGTACCAAAAGTCAGTGAAACAACACAACTAACTAAAAAAAGTCTCATACTTTGGATCTCCATGAAACTATCATTGTTATATATTATCATCTCTAAATGTGTTTAATGAATAGAGATTCTGAATACAAAATCTTTATTAAAAATCTTATTTTTAATATCTCACCCATATCGCACCCATATCTCTTAGCTTGAGCCAGCTAAAAAAATCTTAAAGCCAGTTAAATCTTGAGCCAGCTAAAAAATCTTATTTTTAATATCGCACCCATATCTCTTAGCTTGAGCCAGCTAAAACAACAATAACAAGTGCAACAAAAAAATAGCCAGGTGTGAGCGGCACCTGTTGCTCAAAGGAGTAGGGCACCAGCCCCATATACTGGATGGTTCAAACCTGGCCCCAGTCAAAAAATGAAAAAAAAAATAGCTGGGTGTTATGGCGGTGCCTGTAGCCCCAACTACTTGGGAGGTTGAGGAAAGGGAATCACTTATGCCCAGGAGTTTGAGGTTGCTGTGAGCTGTGATGCCGCGGAGACGGTGACACCCTACCCAGGGCAACAGCTTGAGACGCTATCTCAAAAAAAGAAAAAAAATCTTATTTGGCTACATGTGTATTTTCCAGTAATGAAAATTTGCTCTTTACAAAGAGAAGATATGAGGCACTTTGGTAGTTTTCCCACTACCAAGGAGAATGTAAGTCTCATTAAATTTTCCTTCCCTTTCTTCCCCTCCCCTCCCCTCCCCTCCCTTCCCCTCCCCTCCCCTTCCCTTCCCTTTCCCTTTCCTTCTTTTCTTTCAGAGTCTTGTTCTGTCATCCTGGGTAGAATGCCAAGTGCTATGGCATCAGCCTTGCTCGCAGAAACCTCAAACTTCTGGGTTCCAATGATCCTCTTGCTTCAGCTGGCCAAGCAGCTAGAACTATAAGTGCCACCACAATGCCTGACTAATTTTTTCTATTTTTGTAGAGACATGGTCTCGTTCTTGATCAGGCTGGTCATGAGCTCCTGAGCTCAAGCAATCCACTCTCCTTGGCCTCCCAGAATGCTAGGATTACAGGTGCGAGCACCACGCCTGGCCAGTATTGATTCATTCTAATGCATAACATGGAAATTGGTAGCAAGATTTGAATGAGGCAAAAATGATCTGGGGTTTACGTAAGCCATATACTAAATAAGAGTTCCCCAATAAGTGGATTTATTGTGGGGCTCATAAACAGAAATACACTAAACAGAATAGCTTGTGTACTGAAGGAGTCAGGCATTTCCTAAGTCTTTGAAGCAATACAAAGTAAATCTTTCTTGGGGAGGGCTAGCCGGCTGGGGATGGAATTTACTTTAGTAAAATTACCACCATCCATCCAGGGTGTGGCACTCATCTTTCCAACATTAGAAAATCTTTTCCAGATGGACTGAAATTAACCAAGCTCAGAATAGCTAGCTGCAGTAAGCCAGGATGCCAGTTTTAACTTTTAGTGAAGAACAAAACTGCCAAGCTTGTGCTTGTGCCAGTGGCACAATTCTCCATCTGTCGAAGAAGCCACATTGAAAGGCAAATTACAATTGAAAGTCTATTTGGAGAGAGAAAGATCAGAAACAAAGTGGATAATGTGTATTAGCATCTGATGGACCCAGCTGCAAGGTCCAGACAGGGGAGGCCCTGGGACTACCAATTTTTCTCTCCATTCCTTTCCCTCTCTTCCAAGTTGACCATCCTCCCTTCTAATCCATATATTATTTATAGATTGATGAATGGACAGCTTTTTCTCCTTTTGGTCTATGAAATATATTCTTTAAAATGCTTCTGTTACACCATTTATCTATCTACAATGGGCTGATTTTATGCTTTAATTTTTAGATTTGTGTAAACACCAGGTTATTGTCCCCACGTACCACCAATATTCCCCTAATTTTTTTATAGGTCCATAAGATCACATACACTCAGGAATTAGTGTGTGATGCATTAAATGAGCTCTGAGGAGATTTTAAACTTTTGTCTAAAGATCATTAATCTCATGTTTCTAGTCCAGTAGTTCTCAACCTTTCTCATACAGTTCCTCATGTTGTGGTGACTCCCAACCATACAATTATTTTTGTGGCTAAGTAGCAAAATAATTTTATGTAATGAAAATAACTTTATGGTTGGGGGTTACCACAACATGAGGAACTGTATTAAAGGGTCGCGGCATTAGGAAGGTTGAGAACCACTGTTCTAGTCTCAAACCTAGACAAACCTAGAGTCTGCCTATCCTGTGATGATCCACACAAGTGAAGAGTCACTTGCATTTCACTTGCTTATGTCCAGATAACCGATCTGGATCTCCCTGACGTAAGAATGCCCAGGGAGAGCCTGACTATCTGCATCTAGGGAAACGTGCTGCATACCCTGCATTCTCTCATCCACTTCCCTGAATTCTTCACGTCCCATCTCCATGTTTATGACACCCCCAAACCCATTGCAGAAAATAGACTTACTGTCTACGTCTGACTTTTGCTGCTTTTTTCCATCCTTTCCTCTCATGCTCCACACTCCTCTTATGCTCACCAAGACCTCCAGTGTGCAACACTGATTTGTGGGCCTGGCCGGGGATGAGATTCCCCTTTTTCCTCCGAGAAAAGAAATGTCATAATGGTTTCTTGCAATCATGGGTTGGAGCTTTTACAAATTATATGTAGAAGCATCTCCCTTTGATGTTGCTGGACCAAATGGCTGGCCCTATCTAGTTGGAAGAGAGATGAGCCACACACTTAGGGTGGCACCACACTGTGGAT